GAAATTATGAAAAGACTGACACCTGATCGAAGAATTTTCGTTGACTATTCTGTCAAATACAGAGAAAATACTGGATTTTGCATGCTTTTCGTAATTTTTTAATTTATCAAAAACTAATTAACTTTTATTAGCGCTCTTGGTCTTGTTTTAATCTCTATTTAATGTAGAATCTAAATTATTAACTGCTATTGTGAAATAAATTCTTCCAAAAAAATTTAAAACCGTAAAAGTGGGATTAAAAAACTTCAAAAAATTATCATGAATATTAAAGTCTCAAAAAGGTTAATGTAAAATATGTTCATTTAATAAATATACTAAAATTCAAAAAAGCTTTTAAATTACTTAATTATTTAATTTTAAAAAATTGTTTTTTTGTTGAAAAAGTGTCAATCTGTTTTTCAAAATTGTTTTATCCAACTTTCACAGTTTCAAATTTTTTTGAAAAAACTTGTATCACAATACCATTAATTAATTTAGATTCTACATTGAATAGAGATTGAAACAAGACCAAGAACGCTAAAAAAAGTTAATTAGTTTTCGAGAAATTAAAAAATTACGAAAATCATGCAAAATCCAGTATTTTTTCTGTATCTGACAGAATAGTCAACGAAAATTCTTCGATCAGGTGTCAGTCTTTTCATAATTTCATTAGCTTTCAGGAAAAAAATTGAAAAATTTTATGTTGGAATAACATTTTTTAAACATTAACAAATTAATTTTTTTAATTTTTGTTTTATACAGTGTTAAAGCTTAGGAAAAGAGCTTTAGAAAGAGACCTTTTTGACCTTTTTATCTTTAATAATAAACAAAATATACAACTTTTTGTAAAGTGTTTAATTGCTGTAGAGTGGGTAAATGTTATTGAGCGGCACTGTAATTCCTGAGAAGAATTTCGCTACCTAATTATAAATATAATTTAATTATTGACGAGAATTATAAAAAAAATTTGATAATAATTTACTCTCTAAATCTGATTTAGTGCATATACACTTATTCATGATTCAAAACTGTTCCACGTAAAAAATAAGTGCATATATACACTTAAAAAAATTGAAAATTCACTTATGAGTAAGTTGAATTTTAATTATTTCAAGTGTATATGCACTTATTTTTTTACGTGAAAGTGTTTTGACTTTTATTCAGATTTAGAGAGTAATTTCTGCAACATATTTTATTAGTTTTCAAAAGAATTGGATTATGGTAACGAATTTTTATGCTTATGAAAATAATTGAATTCTGGAAAAGAATTTAATTAAAATTCTTTAAATTATAATTGATTTTACGAGGAGAATTTTGTTGTTTATCAAGATAAATGATTTCTTTTGCACAATTACTTAAAAAATTTTGAAAATAAATGATTTTCTGTGACGAGTTGAATCATTACAACGAATTATATGTATTATTTTATTGAGTAATTAAATGCTTAGCTTAAATTTGAATTCTTTCGTTAAGTTTTAATAAAATTTTTATTAATAATAAATTGCATTTTTCGAGGAATTTATTTAAAATTGTATTAAAAATATTTAAAATTTTTGCCGTAAAAATAATTGAATTCCTAAATGAAATTTTATTATTTATAAAAATAATTGAATGTTTTCGTAGGATTGTATCAAAAATTGTTTTCAATAATTAAATGTTTTGATAAATTTTATGAAAATAGTAAATTGTTACGTCAAAACTGAAACCTTTTTAAATATACCTAACATTCCTCGTTTTAAATTAGTTTCAGAAATTGAATCTAATTTGGGATGAGGATAAGTCAATGAGCCTACTAAATGTTGTGAGAGAATATTTATTTAAAACCAACCAAGAAAGAAAAGAATTGACAATAGTACAAAAACACAATGAGTATAAAAATCTTACTTTTGGAATAACGATTATTGCAGGTGTTGAAAACTGGTGATTGTTATCTCGATTTCCGATCTGAAGTGGTTATAAGAAGTAGACACAAAGGAGCCTGTGGTTGGTGTCCTTAATGGTTGTATATTAGCCTTGTTGTTTACGCTAATGGAATTTAGTGTATTGTATTCTTGGGGATTTTTCTCTTCTTCCAGACTGTCGCCTTCAAAGCAAATCTCGATGTTTAGAAATTAGAAATACTGTTTCAATATTTGATTTTGAAACGTGAAAACAATTTAGTTCTTCTTGGGTTATCACTTATTGCTCGTAGTTAAACAAGTGAATTTATTAATTGTTGTACCGAACTTGGTCTCATAAATATACTTGGGGATGTAGCTTAGTTAACTTCTAAACTGTATACTGGGATTACACTTAAGTTGACTTCGATGTGTTATGGTTGATGTTCAGAAAAATACTCTCTGCTCTATCGAAGATGCTACCCCTTTTTATATCAAATTTCTAATGCAAGGTGGTTCACGAATATTACACGTGCCGAAATGCTACACGTGCAGGTAGGTGCAGCGATACCTCACCGGACTAATATCAATAGGGTTTTCTTCATTCGCCATGTATTTGGATAGGTTCTCACCGGACTTGATTCTGGTATGTGTCGTTTCTCTCTCTTTCGGAGTGCATTCTTCTTTCCTAATGTGTGGTCTAGTTTGCAGGAGGTTGTCAAATTGATGCGTAATCGTTATTCCTTTTACATTATTTGAAATATAACTTCTCTTTCTTGGATTTGTTATAACTTATAAATTTGTTGTAATTACATAAACATATAATAAGATATACCATATTAATAGAAAATGTACTGAATATAATGCAATGATATATGACATACACATACACACACATACACATACACATGTAAATATTATAAGAATTATATAAGTATATCAGGAATATTAATAAGAATATACGTAAGTAATTCAAGAATATTAATAAGAATATACATAGGTAAATAAAGAATATAATTAAGAAACTACATAGTTGAATCAAGAATATTAATAAGTTACGGACGTAACACCTCCCCCCTCAGATTGAGCATGGGAGAGAAACGAAACATGCTCAATAAAGCTCAATATATTGTAGAGGAAATGTCATGACCGTTTGTGCACACATTCAATTCATTCTTTTCTATTCTTAACAAATAACATTCAGGAAAAATGAGTTTTTTTTATTTAATTATCGAATTTTTTGTCATTTTTCATTTGAATCATAATTAGCATATACAAAAAAAATTTAATGTTACAATTTGTATCGAAGTTGGCAAAATATAAAAGTGAAAGTCAATGCCAAAACTGTTTTCAGAATTTTCCTAACTCTAATATTTCTCTTGGAATCCAAGAAAGAATTTTTTGCAACAACTTTACATAATTCACAGGTATACCTGCATCGAAGTTGTCATCCCTAACTTGTTTGATTTCCTTATCAGCTAAGGTACAACCCACCCATCAGTACTACTGTTTTCCGAATTTTCAATTGGTTTCTTAAGTTTGGATAGGAAAAAAAAGAAATGGTAGGGATGTCTAAAAGGACATGCTTCTTTTTTCGTACCTAAAATTCAGTTTCGTGTTGTCTGTTTTGCGTGAATTATCTTCCGCGAGATATTTTTGAAATAAAACAAAATATGACTGTTACAATTTTTGAACAAGAAGTTGATTTAGAACAGGCGTTTCAGGATTTTGAAGAGCTCTTGAATTCTAATCAATTAACTTTACTGAGTGATATGGTCATTGATAGTGAATGTAGTGATCGTGAAGTCGTGCATGGTATAGGAATTAATAGTAACTGTAGTGCTCGCAAAGTTGTGGATGAGGAAATGACAATTGATGAGGAATGTACAATGAAAGAAGTGGTGCTTCCTAAAATTGTGACAAGAAGTGTCGCTAAGCGTTTTTGTGCTGCAAATAAGGATTTAACAAATAATGAAAAATGTACAGTGACAGTAATGGTGCTTCCTAAACTTCTGAGAAGAGATTTAGAAGAAGACTTTGAGGTTCCTGTCGCTAAACGTTTTTGTGCTGCAGATGAGGAGGAATTGGAAATTAATGAAAAATGTACCGTGACAGAAGTTGTGCTTCCTAAACTTCTGAAAAGAAATTTAGAAGAAGACTTTGAGGTTCCTGTCGCTAAACGTTTTTGTGCTGCAGATGAGGAGGAATTTGAAATTAATGAAAAACTGGAATTATCCGTGAAAGTAGGTTCTTCTTATTTTTTATTATTCGACTCGAGGGATGTTCCAAACTTTTTCTCTATCATCGAGAAACTTGCTGAGCCTTTCAAGAATATGGATATTTGGAAGCCTATAGAGGGAAATTTTTCCCCTTTTATAATATCATTCGAATCAAGGAAATTTCGAGGAATGAAGTGGTGGTCCAGTATTCCTAATAATGAAATAATTAGATTAATTATACAACGACAAATGTCTGCACATGGACCACAAGGCCTTTTTTTTGGGAGGAAAATATTTTACTTTTCCTAAATACAATATTCAAATTGTAAGTACTTTTTAACTGTTTTCATTGTTGTATTTCATTGTTAAATAAATTTCTTTTATGTTTAATTGCTAGTAAGAAATACTAATTAGTGCATTTAATTTAGGTTGACAAGGAAATGGTCAGTTGGCATGGCAGCAGAAGAATATTTATAGAGATTCCTAAGATTAAATACGGGACCCATCAAATTTCACTACCTTTCGAGTTAGCTTCAAAGAGAAACTGTATTGTTCAAGAGCACAAGTCTTTATTTAGTGCTTACTACAATACTGATAAGGGCTTCTTTTTCTTTAATCGCAAGATGAAATTTGTGCGAAATTCATTGATTAGAGTAAGTATATATCATTGTTTTGTATTTTAATTTAATATGTAGATATTTGATTTAAATTATTATTACTCTTGTTTATAGATTGGTGAATATAATGATTGGTATGGTCCAGATTTAGAATTATTATCCCATGAAGACACAAAGGTGACAAAAAGGGTTTGTATCTTGCTTCTGGAAATTCCTTTTGAATGGCAGGCTACTTTGAATTGTACTATGGAACAACGAATTGCCTACCTGAAGACACATATACTAGAATCAAAGGATCCCTTAGGGTCTCCCTTTATAGTTGGTGGTGTGAAGTGGAGAATACGGAATAAAAAGGTTGAGCGTGTAAGTGTATATACCTATTTATGTAATGTATTTTATTTGTCCATTCATTTTTTATTAATTATTAATTTTAATTTTCAGTATTTTGGACCCTGACTTAGTACTAAATTAAAATAAAATGTTATTACACTGAGAAAACTGGAGTATTGGACTGAACATCTGGAGGGACAAATCGTTCATATTTGAGAGTTAGCTATTGGATAACAATCTAAATGTTCAAATACACCATTGACAGATATTCGTGCCATTTCTCTTGGAGGGAAAATGAGTTTATAACAGAGGGACAAATTAACCATCTTGAGAAATCCCTTCCTTATCCGGCGCGAAATGAATAAATATGGCAACTTAACCCCTAAATTAAATACATAAAATGTCAGAAAAATAATTTCGCGCGCATCAGATCGTACACATTTTCTGCGCAACTATTAACCCTCAAATATAATGGGAGAGAATATACAAGTAGATTTCCATTACCAATTCAAAATTTATTTTAGAAGGACTATTTTACTTTCTTCATAAGCAAAGGAGACATACACTCTTTGAACCTCCGAATTTGACACTCCAGTTTTCTCAGTGTATGATTGTCATCATCATTATTATTATTATTATTATTATTATTATTATTATTATTATTATTATTATTATTATTATTATCATTATTATCATTATTATTATTTTTTTATATTTTTTAATTTTTTTTTTGCTTAGGGACTTTTGGGAAATCTGCCTACAGATACCTTGGATTCCGCGCTCCAAGGTTATGTGGGGTTGGTATGATAAAACAAAAGGAAATAAAAAAAAGAAAAATAAATCTATAAAAAATTAAATTTAATACACTGGCGACCTACTACCAGGCCGACCCACTAAAACCCGTAACCCTTCTTCACAAAATAAATTAATAAAAAACAAACAAAACAAATTAAAAGCTGTTTAAATTACGCTTTTTGGCGGCCGTCGAGATCCTTCCTCGACATAACCGAGATTATGAAGTTCTCGACTTGCCGCCAATTCTCTTCTGACTGGGTCATCAGCGATACCATGTTCTCCGGTGTAACTTGACTGTTTACACCTTCGAACATGGCCCGCCTCTCCAAGTCCCATTTTCTGCATGAGAAGAGGGTGTGCTCCGCGTTGTCCTCAGGGAACTGGCAATATGCACACACCTCGTCCTCGCGTAATTTAAAGCGACACAGGTACGAGTTAAAACACTTGTGACCTGTGAGCGCCTGTGTCATATAATAGGAAACCTGACCGTGTTTCCTATTTATCCAGGTGGCGAGTGCCGGGATAAGGCGATAAGTCCATCGACCTTTTTCCTCACCATCCCATCTTTCTTGCCATCTTTCTATGAGCCTGTGCCTCGCTTCTTTGCGGATCAGGCCCTTGCTTGGTCTTGTTTCCTCATCTAAGGAACTTCTTTCTTTAGAAAAGAGAAACATTTCTTCCCTTTCCCTTGCCAAAAGATCTGCTGGCGGGACACTTGCAAGGACCTGCACAGCACTCGTAGATACCGTCTTATATGCAGAGATGATACGTGTTGTTATCGATCTCTGCGCCGACAGTACCTTTTCACAGATGGTCACACATCTTTTACTCCTCAGGGATGGGGCCCACGCTGGTGCTGCATAGAGCATTTTAGCATGGGCGACACTCGCCACCAGTCTCCGTTTTTGTTCACGGGGTCCGCCTACGTTTGGCATTAACCGTGAAAGATTAGCCGCACACTCGATCGCCTTATTTGACGCCGTAGCCATGTGGTGGTGGAAGTTTAACCTTCCATCCAACTCCACACCAGGATATTTAATTTGCTTACTCCACTTGACCTCGAATCCGTCTATCACGATTCGTGGGAGCTCATAACCACGTCTGTCTGACCAGCAGTGCCTCGGTCTTTTCCAGGGCCATTTCAAGACCTCTGGTATCCAGCCAGCTTTTTGCTAGTCGCAGACATTCGTTCACCAATGTCCCAAGAGCCTCCTCACTTTCGGCAGTGCACACGAACAACGCGTCGTCCGCAAAGCCGATGATCACCGCACCTTCGGGTAGATCCATTCGCAGAAAATCATCGTAAGATACATTCCATACAAATGGACCCAACCTCGAGCCTTGAGGAGCCCCACGCTGCATCTCTTCCTTGAGAGTGCAGGTGTCTCCCTCATATATAACCCACCTGTCGCTAAGATAATTATCCATTATCCGCAATAAGTAGGGCGGCATGTTTTTCTTTTCCATCGACTCGATGAGATCTTTTCATCTTGCGGAATTAAACGCGTTGCGTATGTCAATTGCTACCAACGCGCAGAAGCTCTTCTTTTTCCCAGGTCCCAATTTGTTTTTTCCTGCCTTGGCTTTGTCCACAACTGCCTGGATGGCATCAACTGTGGACTTGCCTTTACGGAAACCAAATTGGTGATCTCATAGACGATTCTCTTCGGCCAAGTGGCTTTGCATTCTCTGCAGAACCATATCCTCTAGAAGTTTACCCATCGTATCTAGCAGGCATATAGGCCTGTATGAGGAGACTTTATGTAGAGGTTTTGCACCTTTCCTCAGGAGGACTAACCTCTGTCGCTTCCAGTCGCGGAAGAACTCTCCTCTCTCAAGGCAAAGATTAAAGCATCGAAGCAGAATCTGGGGTGGAGTGTCGATTACCAACTTTAGGATCTCGTTACTTATCCCATCGATTCCAGGCGCCTTGCCTGTTTTCAATCTTTTGCCTGCTTTTTGCAGGTTACTAAGTGTGAAGAGTGCTTCTTCTTCGACTTTGCAAAAACTCTAGTCCCTTCTAAGGTATGGCTCTGCAGGAGGAAACAAAGAACTTATTATCTTTCTGACCCAATCGGGATTGTCCAGGCAGGGGGTCTTTTGCCTCGTCACTAATTTCTTAGTTACGATTTCAAAGCCAGACCCCATGGGTCCTTACCGACTTCCTCGATTAGGTCCTTCCAGCTACGGCGTCGCGACCTGCGGATCTAACTTCGTTAATATTCGCGATATTACGTTTACGTCGTTTTTCTCGTCTCCGCGTAGACGAGTTTATTCAATTCTTTGTACTTTTATTTGTGTTTTGTAAATATATTTTGAAGTTTCGATTCTGTAATTAAAATGTTAAAATTATTTAAACGAACCCTGACCGACGAGCAATCCACACCCTTAACATTCATTACAAATTCTTGGCGAAAAGTCCCGCATCGCCGCATCTCCGACAGTTTTTTGTTCTGTCGGGGCCCTTGCAAATTCGGGTCACGTGTCCATAGTCTAGGCACTTTTGACATCTTGTCACTTCTAAGTGCGTGCGGATGGATGCGTTTATCCAACCAATACGCACTTTGCCTAGCTTAACCAGACACTCGCTGTCCTTTTCACTTAAGCGTACTAGTGCCACTTTCGTACCACCAAAACGTGTCAGAACTCTGCAAGTCACATCTAATTCGGGCTTTTGCAACTTTTCCTTTAAGACGGTTAAAACGTCCGCCTCTGAAGTTGTTTCATCGAGTTCCCGAATTTCGAGGGTCTTTTTATTGACAAGAGCCGTAACCTCGGCCTTGTCGTGAAGTACGGAAGTAAGTTTCTCAGCGAACTTTGAAGTTTCACCCCCCTTTTTGACCACAACAAGAACCTCCTTTTTAAGAGTTCTCCTAATTTTCACAATCTCGGTGCCGGTTTCCTCTGGCTTTACCGAAGTTGTTGCCAGTTTAATAAGATCATAGTAGGTCTTTGGATTCCGGGCCGAAATTTTTATTGCCTCCGTGGTTCTAATTTTGGGGGGGCGCTTCTGAAGTCTCTCCCTCTCTTCTGCTTTCTTCAAGGCCTTTCTCTTACGGGCATCCCGTTTCCTATTGGAGACGGTTTCGAAGTCTTTTTCGTTTTCAGGCTTATTTTCCAAAGTTGCCTCCGAATAAGAAGCAACCCTGGCCGAAGCAGCCTTACTCACCTCCGTCTCCATAGCAGTAGGGTTTGCCTTGGTCTCTTTGCTCTTAACCCTCTTACCCTTGGGAGTGGTCACAGTAGAATCAGTCTCCGGACCTTCATACTCTCTAAGGCGCTTCCTTGGGTCGATGGGCTTGCTCTCGCTAGATGTAGCGTGCGACAACGATCTAGGAGTTTCAGGATTCGAATTTGGTTTGCTTGGGCTAATGAAGGGCTAAGTCCCTTATCTTCGGAATTTTTGCTTCGGCTCCCTCCAAAATCCTTAGAGCCGTCTGCACCGACTACCGGGGCTTCAACCCAATCAGAATCGGTGGTGGGATTACCCTCTACAGAGGTACCCACTTGGAGTAATTCATTTGATTCTTTATCTATTTCATTTTTTTTATTCTATGGCCCGTATCGAGGGAACGATCGAGCCTAAACAGGGTACTACCATCTGGCCAAGATGGACCCTGAACCGCCTCCGTTAGTTACATAGACGTTATAGCATTGCCGGAGCATTGATGCGACGTCTATGATATCCAAGGGCACGTGAACAAGTTCGTTAGGACGTGGAGGTCGATGTGTCTCTCCAAGATAGCAGGAAATTTCCGCAAAGGGAGTGCATAATATGCACTATGGTATCTCTTCACAGAGTTTACCCTCATTATTATTATTACTATTATTATTATTATTTTTATTATTATTTATTATTATTATTATTATTATTATTATTATTATTATTATTATTATTATTATTATTATTATTATTATTATTATTTGTAGTCGGAAGTGGAAAATCTGCGAATTCAGATACCTGGGTAATGAATTCCAGGTTATGTGGGGGTGACCGCTCTTGTTCTGGTCTACCCACTAAAAACCACTCCCGTCTAAATTTGGGACACTTGATCCACCTGCGGAACTACCGTCAGGCCTTCAACTTCGCAAATGGTGGTCCCCTTGTCCTACTCCTTAACTGGGCCTTAATCCGCTCTAGCTTTGTGGGAACGTGGGTGGGAGGAAAACTAAATGATTTCCTCCCCCCCACACTCACACACAGCTGAGCACTGGACTCCTCCGGTCAACATCGTCTT